TGAGGTCTATGCATGGGTAGGCATCGGTGTGGGTGGATGTGGGTATGGGTGAGTATGGGTGTGGGTGGGTGTGAGTGTGTGCGCGAGTATAGGTGGGTGGATGTGGGTGTGTATGAAATAAAGACCCACACCCACATCTACACCCATGCCCACCCATGCACAGACCTTACACCCACCCACACGCACCCACACCCACACCCACACCCTAGCTAGCATGGTGATAGCAGTTGGACGTAATATTTCATTGACCATGTGTAAAAATAGTTGGTTCCATGAAGTTGTACGTATACGAATATAATTCATGTAAAGTGTGTAAGCAAGCCAGATGATTAGAACGACAAATGTAACAATGATAGGAATTCGCCATTGAGGAAAGAGAGATTTGATATCAGTTTCTAGATGACGTGCTACACGAATTGAACCGGCATTGAATGCATCGAAATTCATTTCACGTGCGAGTGTGATTGCTTTATCTTTAGCTATTGAATGATCACTCGCAATAAAGACATTAGATGATTCTCCTGCTGTTGTACTTTGCATGGCAAATGATGAGATTGTATTGAATGCTTTGACAACAAAAGCATTGGGTATTGCTGTTTGAAGTCGTTCTGCATTAGAAATATCGTTTAGATGCGACTTATCCGATGGTTTGTTGGATAGATCAATAAGAATTTTCCCTTCAAATAATGATGGGTCGTGTTCGAGATGTGATATGAGAGAATCGATGTAGTATTCCGGATGAAGAGCCACAAAGATCATTGGAGAACGATGAATACATTCGACAGTGGAGACTATTTCGAATTCTAGATCATTATACTTGTCTGGACAACGGCTACCCATTAGTACAGTAAATCCATATAAGGATAAACGATGAGTAAGTGCAAAACCCATATTGCCACAACCAACGATACCGATACATCGATTCTCATGCATATTGCTACGTAGTCAAAGGAGATTCAATAACCTTTTCTTTCTTATAGGTCGCTCTGAGAACAAGAAAAAGATCGAAATGTCGAAAGAGAGAGCATGATGCGCACAATGTATCTTGATTTCATTCGTCATAGTTGTAAAAAATTGACAGGTTATTGCATTCATTCAATATTCAATCATACAACACGGTTCTTTTCTTTGTGCCATAAATCGTTCTTCATTACGAAACCTCTGATTCTATTGATCCGAATTGTACTATTATGTTTTATTTGCTTTGGTATTTGATTCTTTCGAGACACTTCATGATTATTTCATTGTGACGATCGATTAGAATGAAATTTTCTCATCTAGAACTGCCTTCATTATCAATTCTTAGTTGCTTAGACAAAGATCATTCCTGACAAGTATAATCACAAGAAAAACATGTTCTTGACAGTGAAAAAGAGTTTGAAAATAGTAGTACGCAAAAACTTGCTTTTAAAGTTGTAAAAGAATTATATTTTTTATTTCAAAAAGTGCGTATTTTTAGATGCTCAATGAGCCCTTCTCTACTCGAGATGCTTGGGTCTTTAGGTGACATCGTTAAAAAAATTCGGAATTTTTCGGGGTCAAAAAAGTTGACTTCGCAGGTCTCTACCTGCAAATAGTCCCAATGGATTCAACAAAAACTATTGTCTTCGAGCAAATAACTCACGAATTCAATCGTTTGAATTAAATATTCTGATTCAAATATAGTGATATTTTTATAACAGCAAGGAAAAATTTGTGGAACATACGAAACATTTTGTCATTCAATAAGAATAAGTTCTTCCCTTATTTTATTTTTGTCCGTAATGTAACAATTTCGTAGCATGGAGGCTATTGGTTGAGGAAGGAAGAAAAAGAAAATTGTTATTCAGATACATAACAGTGCAACACAAAGAAGCAACTGCGCTGTTCCCATTATGAATCATTTTTCATCGCTCTCATTTGTCTCTGTACATATCTGTAAGTTATACAATGCATATTTCATGCTATTTTTATTTATTTTCTTCTCACAGCATCGTATTCGTTTGTAGATATTGAAAAAGAAGTTCGACAACGAATTCGATCGAAGCTGCCTTCTAATTATGTTTGTAAACCAACTTGGAATGATCGCTGAATGAATCTCTACCGTTTTTTCGACTATGATGCTAGGTCTTCGAAAGCAGCTACATCTGGATTGCTTAGATAGAGTCATTAGTTGCAAGGCATTGTACATATGCCTGGAGAGAGGAAATGCGAGAGCATGCTTCACGATAATGTCTGATGTGCTTCATTTTAATTGGTGCGATAGAAATCACTGGAAATTGATAACGATGCTCAAGGTGTAAGGTGTGGGGTGTGGGTATGGACTATTCTTCTTCAGTCACCAACACCCACACCCTAATTTTCATTTTAGCTGGTTCACATTAGAAAATTAATGACAATATTTACATCACTGAAGAATAAAATCAACAGTCAGTAAGAAAAATGACTGACTTCGAGAATACGTCAGATGAATCAACACAAGTATAGACAGACAAAAAAAGTGAGTCTTTCCTTCGTCTCTCTCGCGAGTATTACACATGTGCTGCATACATCATTTTTTAATTATACCTTTTTCATCGTATACTTATTGCTTTACTATGTATATATCTTTTGATTGATAGGTTTTATTGCTTTTTCTATCCCAATATGACGTTGAAGAGAAACATACTGCCATCATAATAACAGCACGAGACTATCAACAACTCCTTACAATTGCTGATTCTCTTACCGTTGATAAAACAACATTATGTGGCTTGTTTGTTCGTTATAATGAGAAATTTCATGGAAAACATCCTTCGAATACGGATAAATTTGTTTTCACCGCGTCAGATGCTCAGAAAAAGAACAATTATTAGTCAAGATGAATTTTTTTCAAATGTATTGAAAACATTTCGATGCAATCATGATGTTCAAGTGGTTACTGATCCATGGGCTCTTTCAATTGTAACATAAAGGAAATCTACAGGCATGAGGTATTTAGTCTGAATTACAAATTATAATTTGGGAAGAAATCGCTCTTTTCCTAAATTCACAAGAGCGAAGCAGTCATCAGAATTCTAAATCATAATTTAGAACAAAGGCTTTTTTTTTCTTTTTTTTCCTAAACTTACAGGACTATGTCTACATAATTCGAAGTATAAATTCTACATAACTAAAACTTTAAGTTTTCTTTTTCGGTGATTAACAGAAAAAGGTCCTATGGTTTTCCATTTATTTTCGAATCGATGCTGTGCATTAAGTTCTTTATTAATTAGAGATAACTGGGATGGTATTACACTAAGTGCAACGAACACGCAAGTCACATTTGAAAACGCGCAAGGACAGAAAAGAATTGTAACACACATTTTCTTATTTAACTGTTCTTGCACAATGACCGTGAAATTCGTGTGAAAGACATGAAATGTAAATAATAACACCATTAAAAAAATCGAACGATCAATAGAATAGAATACAAACAGAAAGAAAAAAAACAAGTCCAATATATTTATGAAATAATAAGTAGAAAAAAAGTATTTTTTTCCAACTTACAGCTACAGGAATATAATAATTGTACAAATAAATCGCAAAAAGGTTTCTACTCTGATATTACTAATGCAAGTAGAGCGATAGACAGTTCAGAGAAAAATCCAGAGATCTTATTTGGAATATACTTTGAATTAAGACGTGCCGCTGAAATTTTCTGTCACCTCTAGTCTACCTAGAAAGTGACACCTTACCAATTTAGATGCTTTAATTTGTTCTCGCTTCGTCGTAAAAAAACAACTTCATTTGCAGATTTAGGCTGCTCCGTCTATGAAGTAGTTCAGACTATGTCAATATAAAATCATTCACTGATATAATGAAATGTCTACATTGTTTAACTTACCCTAGACGAACTTCTTTTCTCATGTACATGAACTGTTTGACCATCTTGACAAGAAAGTCATGTGATATAGATACATCTTGAGATATGCGCATGTGCAAGCGCATGAGAAAAAAAGTTCGCCTAAGATAGTCGCACATACCAAAATTTCTTCAATCACTATTCTAACAAGCCGAATTATCAGACATCATGGTCTATCACTCTTGACAGAGCAATGTTGTGCCTGCAAGGCGCAATAGACCGGACTTTCTGTCTAATCTATTACGTTCGATCAACAAATCTGGCAGTCAGTTAGGCTGTGTAGTACAAATTTTATATTTTGGACATTAACAGCATCATTTGCCTGATAGTGTTACAAATAGATATTGTAAAGTTCACCTTCATAAAAATGAACAAAATACAAGTACCTTCACTAAATATCAACTTTACGATGCTGGAAATTAGATGACGTAGAAAATGCAAACATCAATAATGGAAAAAATATCAACAGTATAAACGGCAACAATTTGGCTTTGGTTCAAATATCAATTGGTTCCGTGTATCTTACATCTAAATCAATCAATGTTTCGCAAGTTCTAAACTCCAAGACAAAAGAAAAGAATCGATAGGAAATTCCAATGTTAGAAAGAAAAAGAATCAAGCAAATGGTGATTAAAAAGGCGAACTAATGAAAAAAGTCAGCTTGGTTTCTCTCAAACCCAATAAATAATAGTATGTTGAGTAGCTAAAAAGTCAAGTTGATCAATAGTCGGATCCAGCAAATGATGACTGTTCTCCAAATCCCTCATGACTCATTTGTGTATAACCCCCATCGACAGCTAAGTCGGTAGCCGTAATGAACGAAGCATCTGTGGAACATAGAAAGAGAATTGGTCGTGCTACTTCACGACAGTCAGCACATCGACGCAGCATATGGAACTGGCCCCAGATTGGATCCCATTTTTCTCGACCACCATTTACTGCTGCTTTTTCAACCTGAAGAGAAATGAATGACGAGAAAATCAAGACAATAGAGACTTTTATCCAACCTCTGGAGACCATGTCCAACCAGGCGAAACGGAATTAACACGAATGCCGTCTTTACTCAGATCGAGAGCCTAATAAAGAAATTTTAATCAATTGAAAAAAGTCTAAACCTACCATCGATTTCGTAAGCATAACAATAGCTCCTTTCGAACTGGCATAGGTCCAGCGAACTGGTTGGGCACGATGAGCAGAAATTGAAGCGATATTGACGACGGAACAATCTAGAAAACAAGAGAGCAGTGTCAAGAGTTCGACTAGAATTGACATCAAACTTTTCCCAGCTTGCCGAGCTTTCAACATGTATGGATAAACAGCTTGTGCCATGAAGGCATAGGCGCTGACATTTGTTTCGAATGTCTTTTGAAAATCTTTCGGAGTTGCTTGTAACCCTTTTGAGCCAAAGTAGACCGCTAAATATCGAACATTTTAAAATTATCTGTTGTGTTCATTGAAAGATTAAACCAACCTCCATTGATAAGATGATGAATTTGCCCTTGATTCGCTTCTCCGAAGGCAGTAACTGCTCTCTGGATTTGCTCTGGTGAAGTAACATCGACATGAAAGAATTGAACAGAAAATCCATCGCTCTTCAATCTATTCATTTGTTCACATCCAGCGATCTCGTTCAAATCGAAAATGGCCACCGAAGCTCCTTCTCGAGCAAATTCCGTTACTGTAGCTAAGCCGATGCCACTCGCTCCTCCTACAGAATTGTTATATCACTCTTCAAAATTTTTAGACAATCTCTTACTCACCAGTGACGATGCATGCTTGTCCTGCGAACCTCTTGCATTCACCACTCATTCTTATCTCTATCTAGGAATAGAAGCAAGAAAAAGAAAAGAAATAGGATAAAGTATAATAATGTTCGAAGAAAATAATATAATTCAAGAGAAGGAAGATGCTTCAAGAGAGAGAGAAGACTACATGCACATGTAAAATGAACACAAAAAATTTACAGTTCATTTTAGGTATCGTCGATGGAGTTGTGCATATGTTTCTTAGCTCTGTCGATATGTGACATCTTCGCCTTGAAGAGAAATAAGATAGAAAATGAAGAGATGATAAAAAAAAAGGTGCATGCACAACTCGACCAACGAACTTTGCTCATTCTGCGCGCATGCTATCATCACCATTATGACATACATTTTAACGATAACAACCAGTCTTGCTTGGAGCGTCTATAGATAACGTCAAAGTGCAATAGCATTACGATTTCAGACAAGAAATGCCCTGTTAAAATCAAAAACAGGAATTGATTTTTGAAATTTGAACCTATGATTTTCTTCAAAAATTCTTTCATTTTGAAAGAGAGTTGATTACATTGGACACCAATATCGGATTTGAAATTGCAAGAGATCAAAGAAAACTGTTGATGGAATACAAATTTTCAAACGTAAAGTAGAGATTTGAATCATCTCAACTTGCGAAAGAGTTGCTTTCATGAAGAATTAAATAAACAAACAGTGATTGATCAGAACCGAAAATAAATCAATTGTTTGGTAAAGGCTTACAGCTAAAAAAATTTCAAGAAGGACACAAATACAGAGTCTCATTGTTCTTAGGATTGAGCAACAAAGCAGCAGTGATCGTAAATAATCAACTGTTACCTTTCGTTGTATATACATGATATCATTTTCTGTTCGCATTTATTTTCCAAAAAGACCGTATGATGAAAGAATGCAGCAAAATTCTTTTTACTTGAAAAAACGTCAGGTGTTGTTGTTTGAATTGTTTACTTTCAAAGTCAGTGAATGTGAAATGCAATGACAAACTTTCGTTGAAAAATAAGAATAGTTTATATTGATTATTCATTTATTTAAGCGAAAGAGGTTCAGATGTTCTGTTTTTATTGTTGCGACACCCGGTCGAATGAGTTTTTCTTTGATGAAAAGAAAAAATCCAACAGCATTAATATATGCAAAAAATTGATGGATGTGACAAAACAGCCAATAGCGGTCATTTTTCATTGGACATTTGAACAAAAATATAGCGACAAAGTTTCATCGTCAACAATTGATCTAAATAATACTTCATTCAATCTTGGAGATCGAGTCTTGTATCTGTACTCGATTCTACTCTATTCTGGCATAAGGCAAACATTCGAATCTCTACAGTGAAATCGGACTAAGATACCAATTGAAAAATATCGAGTAAATGTAAGATATAAAATCTAGAATGTCGATATCTTTAGATGTCATATTCAATGAAATTTGTAGTGCATTTTCGCTTGATTTATTTCAAATTCTTATATTTTTCCAACATTTCAAAGACTTCAAAACTGATATGATGTCTATATTTCTGACAAAGTGCAACATAATGCCGGATCATTTTTGATTGTTAATGTGAGCAGTTTGTTCCTGTTTCGTCAATATCCATACTGTTGAAGAAAAAAAGGTCTCATCCGTGACGCTGCTGTAATGCTGCGTTATGTGAATGGAAACACATGCTTGGTGAGTAGATGCAAATACACAATAAAAGAGAATAAATTTGTTCTTTTATCGACTGTTTTTTTCTTTGATCACAAAACACAAACAGACCTTGACGAAACTGATGTGACTGATTTCCTGTCACAAAAAGCATGCGTACTTCCTCAAGTTTGACTTTTAAGATAATCCTTTGCCAGAGTTTCCTTTCTATGAGATATTGCAATGCACATGTCACATACGTTTGTATAGATAATCAAGTCTAATTATGTGCACAAGGATGACTGCATTAATAAGCTCTGTGTTATTAGTATTATTCTTATTATCAATATCACATTGCTTCTCACAATATGTACCATATCAAAGTTTGTTGGTGTCGCTATCATCTACTAACTATGGTAATATTGGTCAAGGAAGATTTGTGAATTCGTCATCATTGATGTCATGGGAATGGAGAAATATTACGGATGAATTAGGTGTTGCTCACTGTCTCCATATATATATTGAAAGTCTTTATACTAGTATGATGAGTAAAAGTAGTGTCGCGTCCTCATATGGTCATTCTTTCTCTATAAGTGCTACGGGACTTCACGACTGTCATTATGTCGTTATACTTCCTACTAACTATTTGATGTTATATACAGATGCAAATGAACATATCTATCAGGCTTATCTCGTTACTACGAAACAGACTATTTTACTTGACAATGTTGGTGGTTCAGTTGGTACTCGTGGTTTAGTATATGATACAACAAATAATTGGATTTATTACTCGGAGTACAACTGATGCGTAGTCGTCCAGATGGTAGAGAATTACAAAATATAACTAAATACTTGAATTTAACTGATAGTAATCAGCTTTTAAAAAATTAACAATTCAAAATTTGAGCAGCGTCATGCTCTCTTTAGTCTTGGCCTCTTTAACGTTACATGAAATGTCCAAGAACTTCCATTGTTCATTGAATGAGTTCTAATATATCAGTTTCATATGCATCAAGGAAGACAACATGCACAACAAATGAATACCCATTATTTGTCAGACCCGTTGAAAGAAACTAGCAGAGCTATTATAGCCCCTACTCATAGTTAGAGCAGTACGAAATGATTCTGGTCATGCCGCGGCTAGATTTTTGTGTTATCATAATGACACACGCACTTCTGTAATTAATTTATACAGCTCTAACAGACCCAATTTCGCAACAATACTTGTAAAAATCGTGTCGTTAAAAAGTCAACAAATATAATCGTCCATTGCATATATTCTACTTGTGTACGAAAAACAATTACTTTTTATGAATTTACAGTCGGCAGTCATACGTAAGAATTATTCTAAACATATTAAACCAAAAATTATGACATATTCACCACAAATATATCTCTATTTAGAGAGTAAAATTAGTGCTAGTCTCGAAAAGTTCTGATGCTTCCTTCAGAGAAAGAATTCTGATATCTTCACTTTCTTACATCTGATTGTTGTAGTAGTATACAGGAAGAGTTTGAGCCAGTTTTGAATATTTTCGAACGCACTTTTGAGCACGACCATCCTGACATTGCCCGCACTCGAGCCATGTTTGAATGTGCCCGCAATGGCTCTCCCTGGCCTCTTTCATGGCATAAATAGCTGTTCAGCGAAATATTCTTTTTCAATTTTTTCCGATCGATTTTCGCTTCTCTCATAAATCATATAATTCGAAAATTAGTGTTCAGGGCATTTATTGTCAAGTACTGATTTTCAAAACTTATCTGGATTGCTTGTTGTCGAAAATGTCAGTTTATACTAATCTTACATGAACGTGTCATATAAAATGTATTTTTCTTTTGAAGCTAATTCCTCTCCCATCATAGATTTAGAGTAGGGAATCTTAGCAAACTGTGATAAGAGTAAAATAATGATACAAACCGTTGTCATTCCCTCACGGCTGCACACTTTTCACAGGAAATAAATGTTCGCAACTTCGATTTGTGAAGAAAACTAAACTTAATCCTGAGCCAGTATTTTCATTTCGAGGTAAACTTTTGATGACGAGTTTATTTCTTTTAACAAGATATTTGTTCAAATAAAGGGTTTTTTGTTTTATGCGTCTGCTTTCTTTTTTTTCATTGGTTTGAAGACATTCATCCAGTCCCGTTTTTCTTTTATGTGTATGAGATAAGAACACGCTGCATTCAGAGTCCTTGTAACATTATCGTGTTATCTTACGTAAGTGTCTGTACAGTTTATCTTGACCGGCGTTGTAATAAAGAATATATTTCTCTGCGACATCAACACTAGTAGGGATCGCAGCAGTTTGGCACCAAAAAGAAGAATTTAGAGAAAGATATTTTGAAAAAAAAAGTAGGACAGTGGAAGAAAAAACAGGATAGTAGGGCATTTTTCCAAACGTACTGCAGCACTACGAAAAATTGATGAATCAAATAAAATAATTGAATTGAATATAAATTCCTCGATGACAATCTCCGTATGACCTTTTCCTCGAGCAAATTAACATGTCGATTTTGTTTTTCTCTTCTTCTCTTCAAACTGTTAATGTAGCAAAGATATGCTATATCTTTCTCCCAGGGGTATCGTGAAGCAGTCAAGATCGGGAGCTCTCAAACTTTTTTCAAATCAGATCTAGTGTGCTTTTTTACGCGTGGTCGAAAATGTACGAAGGTCTTGTCATTTCCGACTAAGTTGTATGCAAACATTTTGAATCCTGAAAAACTATATAATCACATTCATACAAAACTTAACAATTTTTCGCGAAGGGAAAACTTTTTGCACACCTCTAAAGAAAATTCGACTTTCCCTAGTAGTCGTTTCAGAAAGAAAGTTCCTTCGCATCCAATTCAGAACAATTGCTCAATACTTTGCCGGCCACGCTAGCGACAATTGTTTAAAATCATGCCTTTCAGAAAGAAAACGTAGCCAAATTTTTAAAAACCAAAGTTCAAAAGCCTTTCAAGTTGACAACACTTATGCAACTGTTCATTTTTTCGCGAAGCGAAAGGTTTTGGCAGACTGTCGAAAAAAATTTCATGTTTCCTTGTAATTTTCTCGGAAATGACAGTATCGTTGCATACAACTCACGGAGTTTTTCAATAATTTAGCCATCGAAAACGGCTACGCTGGTGACGGCTGTTGAAAAACAAAGACTTTCAGAAAGCCAAACACAACTTAACGTCGATAGAACTACAAAAAGTCAAGGATCATATAAGTCGGCTACCATTATGCAGCTGCTACTTTTCGCGAAGCGAAAATTTTTGGTATTCTGCTGTAATTTTCTTGCGAAAAACATAGTTTGATACTTGCAATATATCCTCTCTTGTAGCGATGTCCAAACAACAATTTTCGATTATTGGGAGTGGAGCCGGAAGTCGCCCCGGCCATCCGCTCGC